GTTCCCTCGAGAGTGTCGAATAACACATCCATTATTGGAAGGGGAAATGCGTAACGTTTAGTCACCTAGTTGAATCTTCAAGAATCTGTGCATATGCACAGAGGATCATCCTTCTTTTTGATCAGGTGACCATGGTGACTTAGATGGCCGGATAACGTTACTCTGTAACATCTCGGTTATTAAATCACGTACCTCCTCTTGTAGTTGCATCGGTATCCTACGAGGTGGGGTCCTGATCGGTACTGCATCTCCAGTCTCGATTTGATGTTTTAACACCTCTGTGCGCCCGAGGTCAGTTTTGTTCCAGGCAAACACTTAGGCTTTCTCTCGGATAGTGTTGACTAACTGACCTACGGTTCCGTCATCACATTTATCCTTCAGTTCTCTGGCCAACTTCTCGATATAGTTTTCTACCGGCGACACCGTTGTGTTTTTGGGCTGCGGATCACAAACGGAACTGAGAGGGTCGGGGTGACCAATTGCCAATTATTCAAGTCCAGAGTACATCCCCATCTACACAACACGTCCATTCCCAATATTACCTCGTATCGAATGTCCTCAGCAATAATCATAGGATGTCTCTGTACCCGGCCCGTCAGTGATGTTGCAGAGACCGTCGTTCTCAGGATTGATATCGGTGCGCCGTTGGCCGCAGTGAGGCGGTCAAAACATGGACTCACTGTATACCCCTTCAATTGACGCATAACCGAACTTTTAATGAGTGACCGAGAGGCACCTGTATCTATCAGCGCTAAACAAATAAGATTACAGATTGTTAGTTCGATCATCAACGTGTCCTGGCTATTCGACTGGCAGCAAACAGTGGGGATATTCAATGTTTTGTTTTGCTTGAATTCACCAGGTTGTCGTCCACTGTAGTTGAATTTCCTGTTATGCTGATGGGCTAGTGGTCTGTGCTGGAACCGATAGTTGGGCCGCCACGGTGGTCGCATTTCTCGGCCTCTCTGCCACGCCTGATGTCCGACTTCTTGCGCACCATCGTACCTCACCGCTAAACATTCTCGAGGTGCTACTGTGGCCGCCTCCAGCTTCTCCACATCTTCTGCACGTTTGACAGCCACCTCCAAGTCCGATGGTGGGTTTATGAGCAGATGCCGTCGTACGTTATTGGATCTGGACCCCTCGACTAGTTGTTCCAGCAACTTCTTCTCCAATTCCGGGGGCGAATCATTTTCCCATGCTCTGCTGGCCAGTCGGCGCAATTCTCGCACAAAACTTCTCACGCCCTCACCGTCGTATTGGTGCCGTGCGTTTAATTGCTTTTTATATTCCATGGGCAGCAGGGGTGAATCCAACAACCGTCGAAGGCACGCAAATGTTTCTGCTGTAACGCCTCCCCTCATGCAGTTCGTCTCGGTCACCACATCGAAGGCCTCTCCACCAAGCAAAGATAACGCTAAATTGGGATGACGTTCAGGTGAAAAATTCTCAAGATATATTTTCACTTGCTTCTTCCACCGCTGGAAGTTGTCTCCAACATTGTTCTTCTCCGGGATTGAGCAGGCCGCTGTTGGTCCCATGGTGGATAGTTTTTCTTACCGTTCCGTCAGCGCACTCAGAACGTTCGCCAGCTGCGTGCCGTCCGTGTCCACCTTCTGTGCGGTCGCGTCTTCACCTTTTGGAGTCTTCAGCATATTCAGAGATTGATCCTTGCAGGGTCGCCAATTTGTAACAGGCAGTCATGGGAGAAGACTCGTAAAGAATCAGAAAATTGTATTGTACGTAACGGCACTGAAAAGTGTAAATGGGAAAATGTACATGGGGAAACTCGATATTACGTGATCCTTCAACTGTCTCCGGGTTCTTCTTCTGTGGTTTTGCATTCCCTCACTGTTGCGGTAACGATTGGATGGGCCGCAACGCAAAGGAAAGGCAGCTCTGTCAGAACCTCACAATTCAAAGTACCCGGTCTATTTCAACTAATGTTTTCTTCTACATCTTTACAACCTGACTGGACCTTGTAGAGTGCAGAATCTCCGATCCAGGGCAGTTGTTCTACTTAAAACAGAATTTCCGCGGAAGTGCAAGGGACGCTATCGAGGAGTGCGCAATAATGCCGAACGATTTACGGTGCAACAAAGCCTGGGTTACTGAAGGAACTTCCGGTCAATTGTCAAACGTGGCCCGAATGTTCATGAACGCCGTGTTGGTCAAGTCCCGCAAAACCAGAAACGAAGCTAAATTTTCAGTAGGGCTATTGATGAAGTCGTCGCCCTTACTCAGATGAGCTACGAGGCATAATTTAGTACCTTACACACTTTAGAATCGACAGTCCAATACATATCAACAGATATTCTAAAACGATGGGCGGAGGCAGCGGTGGTTATCGGTGGTTATCGGCCGTTTGAGACAAAAACCAAACTTCACCGAGCTCACCGAATTAATTTGATCTCGCGCAAATTTTCCAGCAGCCGTTTCGTAAAGCTTGCTTGCGTAAGTAGGCGAGAATAAATGCACTCCGCTAGAGAATGGGTCTACCAGAACCTGAGGAACCATAGGTATGCCAATAACTATGCAACTGTAGTGAAACAGTGCACTCAGATACCCCATGTGCCACCTCAATCGCGAGCTATCAGTATGCGGGAAATTTCTGTAATTGAAGGTGCCAGACCGTTGGGAAGAAGTGAAGGGGCGTGATGCGTGCTTTTCTGCCTAAAGAGCTCACATTGTGCGGCTGCTTGGAGGAAGCCGACTGCTTCATTTCCCTAACTCAAATGAATTATGAAACAGGTTTGAATACCCTACACATCCTTGAAGCGATAGTACGATGCCTGCCGGCTAACACACAACGGCGATGAGCGGATGAAGCGGTGATTATCGGCCGTGCAGGGACGGAATCGAATTTCACCAAGCTGACGGAACTCATCCGGAACCGTGATAAGGTCGCCAGTAGTCACTTCGGACAACTCGTCAGCATCAGTAGGCGAGAACAGAAGTACCATGCCAAGGAACGTACGCAAGATATCCCGAGTAGCTCTAGAAACGCAACTGCAATGGAACGTGGTGCACCCAGATGCCCTACATTTTGTTCGAATCACAAGCAATCTGCATGTGAGAATTTTGTGCAACTGGATGTTCCAGACCGTTGGAAAATAGCCAAAAGTCATGACTATGGTGATCGAAGTAGTAGTAATAGTACTCACGGAATTCGGAACAAACCGCGTAAAAGGAATCACAGGACATGAATCTAGGATCAGATATCACGGACTGGATTACGGAAGCACTAAACCGCAATGGCACGAGCTCGCAAAATCCCACGTGAACGAGACACGAGAAAAAGGCTAAACGACTAGCAACTCGTCGTTCCTTTATTGGAAGAAATGGAAGCGATTAAATAATATTTACAAAAAAGATTACTGCTTATCTAGGCTTCTACTAATCATGTTGTAGTATTACTTGCTTCTGATTCTGCACTGTCTCGGATTGGCTAGCACGATCAACCAATGGCATATAGTCAGAAGCCGTGACACGTACGCGCGTCTTTGATGACACCTTTCAAATTCAATCAATCGCAGGTGTTCAGAAGCAGTAATGCGCCGCTCCAGGGTAGGCATTAATTAATTAGGCGTAGACTAACACAATGACACATGCTTTTTCTGTTTGAGCGGATCACATTGCGCGGCTACTTGTAGGAACCGTGGCACATGCGGTGAAAATAGGGGTATCAAGGAAGCCACCATACCCTCCTGCATTCTATACGAGAAATGCAGTTCCCTGCACACCCAAAACTCAGCGTATGTCTACTATCGCAATCAATGGGCAATCAGGTGCATCTTGGGGTAACACTAGACGGCATACTAACTTCTAAGAAGGTAGTGGAGGCGACGGCATTTATAGACAGTGGANCTGATCACTAAGAGTTTCACCGTAAAGAACCATATCGTAGCCCGTCAATCTCCCCTGATGACTAGCACGGTAATCGGAGCCAAGGCTTCTTCAACCGATCAAACGAGCGTGACGTTGGGGTGGCTGGATAGTGGTGAGCGCATAAAGTTGACGAAGGCTTTCACCATAGCTGACTTTCCGATGCGAGCAGTGGAATTGATCGGGGTTCTAGCAACGCGCTGGCCACACCTGAGAGATTTAATTTTGAAGAAGCCGACTATCCCGAAGTCGATTTGCTGATAGAACGTGACGTACCCGAAGCACACTTGGTGCTGAACCAGAGACTGGGTAGCAAGAAAGAACCCTACGCCGCTCGCACCGTTTTCGGGTGGACATTACTTGGACCGCCTCATTGGGCCAACCGCAAACCATTGTTAATTAACTTTACCACCACCACCGCCGGCAACGATACGATCAAACAAACCCTACAACGAATGTACGTTAATGATTTCGACAACTTGAGCCACCATAAAGCGGGTCCCTCTGTAGAAGATAACCAGACATTAGCTATAGTCAAAAAGGGAACACGCTATCAGCCCGACGGGTTCGAGGTGCCTTTACCTTGGGGGACGGGATATACCCGATTGCCGAACAACCATGGGATAGCCCTAAAAAGGTTGGTGTACCTTAAAAGGCGACTGGTCCGTGACGCAAAGCTATGTCGACAGTAAGCCACAGCGATGCAACGGAACGGGCAGCTGGCGTATATAGAACTAGTGATTGTGTCACAACCACTGTGGTACGTGCCACGCCACCCGACAACAATACCTTGAAAGCCAGGGAAGATACGCGTGGTATTTGATTGTGCGGCGTGATACGGTGGTCTCTCCCTCAATGACAGTCTGATGCAGGGATCACATTGGACCATTCCCTTGATCGAAGTATTCAACCGATTTCGGCTAGGAGTAGTTGCAGTGTCTGTCGACAAACGGGAAACGTTCCTCCAAGTTAAGATACCAATGATCAATGCGAGACCCTGTGAATATATGGTGGCCTGAAGGCGACGTAAAGAGCCCAGCAGTAGACCACCGACTGATTGTTCATCCATTCAGAGCGGTCTCCTAGCCCTTTTGCGCAAACTACGCACTCCGACTGACAGATTCACAGCACAGAATAAACTTTCCCGCCTAGGTGTCGGTTGGAGTTAGGAACAAATTCTACGTTGACGACTTCCTGCGCACCTTTGATGACGGAAGAGAAGCTTCGCGAAACGTAGCGCAACTAAAAAGCCTACTGGAAAAGGGGAGTTCCGCCTAACCAAATGGTTGGCCAATTTGCTTTTAGTTTTAGACGACGTTTCCGAAACCGACAGAGCAAGTGAGGCTGTCAACTTAACTACACAGCCATTCCTATCGAGCCGAACCTGGGAGTATGATGGAGCTCTAAGTCGGAAGAATTCATCTTTCAACTTAAAATACCCGAGAGGAACCCCACCCGGCGAGGGCTGCTATCGTCGGTCTCCGGTTTATATGACCCGCTTGGATTCGTCGCGCCGTGGCTGTTACCGGGGAAGTTCCTCCTACAACAGCTATGTCGAAAAAGAGCGGAATGGGACCAGCCATTAAAAGAGCAGGACCGAGCAGATTGGGAGCAATGGTTAACAAGCCTATCAAGACTGGGTGAGATACGGATCCCGCGCCGACTCAGCCGAAGCAATCAAGCGACGAAGGTCGAACTGCACCCATTCTCCAACGCGTCTGAGACTAGATACGGGGCGTTAGCCTACGTATGCTGGCTGCCTGTGAACGGTGAGCGCACGAAAGAACTATTTTTCAACGGATGCACGGATCGCCCCATTGAAATATGTATCGATATCTCGCCTCAAACTGACCTCGGCCGTGCTAGCTGTGTGCATAGCAAAGCAGCTGCAACAGTGCTTCGGTATCCTCGAAGAAAGCGTCACGTCCTGGACTAATTCTGTCATTGTAAACAACGTCAGTACTAGGCTCAGCACCTTAGTTTCCAATCGGCTGACGATA